GCTTCTTATCACCTTTTTTTTTTTGACATCTGTTAACCCATTCTATAAACTCTTCCAATTAGGTGATTAGCGAGTGAATTATTGAGGAAAAAAAGGAAAAACTTTAGATCACTTTGAGGCATTCCAATTCAGTTAAAATGAATGGATCTCACCCTGAAACTATCATCTATTGAGTTTGGGAAGTTTTACAAAGAACTAATAACTCCTGATCAAGAATTCCATAACAAATCCACAAAGTAGTTATTATTTCTAATTCACAAAAGAGGAAACTAAGGCTCAGAGCAGACTTGGCTTTCCCAGGGACTCACACTTAGTAAGGGGCTCAGCAGAGGATTACTCAAACTTAAGTTTGTCGGACTCTAAAACTTTGTTCTTTCAACTCTGCCATGTTGTTTCTAAATGATTAGGGATAAGGTAAAGAAAGTCAATAGATCACCATTAAATTCTAATTTCAGATTATAGTATCTATTTTCAACAAATGTGAAAATGTTAATTAGAATGTATTTTATATAATTTTATAATTATAATGAATCTGTTTCTATGACTTTGTTACCTCAAATTAAGCCCCCAATTTAAAATGCTTTAATTAAACTACCTAAATTTGTCAAATAGCCTACCTTACAAATATATTTTGTACAGTTTTCATTGTCTACATGTTAGTTACACTCATACTTTCTAAGGATTTTTTTTCAGGGTTTATACATGTCAGAAAGCTCATTTTATTTAATATCAACAGAAGCTAAATATGTAGTTTATGTCTTTTCATTCTTTCCTCAACATGTACTAAGATAATTTTCTTCCCCAAAATAATTTATGCTTTTCTGTCACTTGAATCTAAGCTTCCTCCTTCATTTTTTCCTCTTCACTGGTCTCTGTTTCTTGAACAACTCCATAGCTAAATCACTTTCCTCTCTTTATTTGCCACTCTTCCAATTCTGTTACTTAGTTTTTATTCCTGCCATTCTGCTCTCTAAAGCTTCTGAGGTCTTCAAAGCCACTTGCAACATTCTGTCAAGAAATCTAGAGAAGCCTTGCCCTTATATGACTCTAGTGGCCTATCTTCACTGACAGGATGACACCTGCAAACCCAAAATTGATGTCACAGTGATAGAGTAACTAAGCAACTCTCATTAATAAGAATAAAATCCAAAAAAATGAGTTGCTAAGTTCACCCTTGACGTGAAATCCCCAGCTGTTTCTTAATATGTATTCCCAAGTATTAAATTATTTTAAAATAAAGAATGTAATAAATGATTTATACATCTTCAATCAGGTCTTAAGGGCTTGAGGTATTTTTTTGTTTTTGTTTTGGAGACAGAGTTTTACTGTCACCCAAGCTCTGGAGTGCGGTGGCCTGATCTCAGCTCATTGCAACTTCTGCCTCCACGGTTCTCATGCCTCAGCCTCCCAAGTACCTGGGATCACCATGCCCAGCTAATTGGAGGGTTATTTTTGCTATTTTGGCTACACCCCAGAGATTCACAGTGAACAAAACTACCCAAAGTGGATGATAAATAAAGCTTCCCCTAGATTTATCCAAGACACTTGAAGTTCTTATGTTTTCTGTTAATATAGTTTCATTAAAATAAAGGTAATGATTAAAGAGGTCCCATGAAGTCAAAGACTAGACAGGCTTTGCTCAGCATTTGCCTTTCAAATGCTCTGCACAATACCTGCCACATAGATCCTAAAATATTTTTAAGTAATTAGGTGGATTAAATAGTATTTTGGTGCCCCTATTTTGAAAAGTAAACTACTTTCCTCAAAAGTTTTAAAACTTACAATATATGCCATGTTTTCCTTTCAGATGCCAATATCACAGTCTATCCAAAGCTTGGGAAATCCCAGACATTTAAAGTAATGTGTCCAGAGATATGCAAGTTTCTCAAGGCAAAATTAGAATCAGGTATCCTGAATTCTGGAAGTTTTTTTCAATTTCACCAATGCAACTTACTTTCATTATTAAATAGTAGTATAAATTATTATAATCTTTACACTCAACATCAATGCATCTTAAGTGTCCAAAACATAAGTCTGGATATCCCATGGGTCAAATAATTAGTTTAATACTTGGCAATGTTCTAGTATTTATTAAATTCATTTTCATTTTTTATTTGCAAATCATTCTGAATGAAAAAGAAATTTCAAGTGACTGAGACATTCCATGACTAGACAACTGAGAAAACAGGAGCTTCCATAGCAAGCACAGTTTCTCCTGAAGTATATCGTGCTGGCATGCAAGAAAGCTCACAAGACTCAAAACAGCTAGAAATTCCCAACTAGAAATGCTCTGGTAATGGCTCAGTTGGAAAAAATATATATATATTCTCAGCTTTAATCAGAGAATAGAGGACATAATCCATCTTCTGAAGTATATTCAAAGAAGTTTCCGTGACATCCTGACAATGTCAAAAAATGAATCTATTGGGACTTTTTGAGGTAGTGTCCTAACTTGCCAAATAAAAGAAAATAAGGTAAGGACCACACAGAAATAAGTCACTGCTTTGAAATATAATTTCTCTCTTTTATTTTGTCACTAAGTCTATTGGTGATATGGTTAATCAAGGAGAATTTTTCTACACATGTGTTATGATGTCGAAATGTTTATACTGTACTCACCTGTATGTTCTCAGCATCCACCTGACAGATGCTTTTCATAACAGAAAAGAATTATGGTGTGGAAAGTATACATAGCTGTTGCATTTATTTGATCTTCACAATTATTTTCAAATTGCCTATTCTGAAAACCATTCTCTGGATACATTCTTTTCATCCAGCAAAAAGGCAGAGTCATTTAAATTTGATTTATAAAAGTAACTATCAGAGATTATTTCCTCCCTCTTGTTCTGGCAGAAAATACTTCAGTTCTCAGTTTCTCTTATCTACTCCTGATGTAAGTTGTTGAAAATAGTTTAAATTAACATTGTCAGAGGCATTGCCATTACTTTTTAGAAATTTGTAAATTCTAATTCTTAGTCAAAAAAAAAAAAATCCCTCCAAGGTTATATCAACAATTCTCCCCAAACTAATCACAAACTAATTATCTTTAGCAAAATCATTTCATTAAATAAGAATCTGTGGTACTGAATAACTATTAAAATTGCACAAGTGTTGCCTTAGGTAGTGACACAAGCCTACAGATACCTGGGGTCACTGGACTCCTGTTATAAAGAATTATATTCAACAATTTGCCACATCAAATAATTCATAAAATTACATTGCCTGGGAAATATTGGCAGGTAAGAACAGCAAAAAGCAGCCAACGTATCCTGAGGATTGTTTTCTAGGTTATCACTAAAGAAAAAGTGGCATAAATATACATCAAATAGAAAAATACACAAGAAGAGCAAGAGGACTTTCTCAATATGTGTTCCTAATAACTAAATTAGTTCAAAATAAATAACGTAATAAGTAATTTATATGTCTTCAGTCAGGTCTCATAAAAGAAAAACATCATTCTCCATTAATGCAAGTGCCACAAGAATATCTGAAGAACTGCCCGGCACCAGTACTCGGTCCCCTCAGGGTTCCAGTCCTTCTTCGGTCCCTCCTACCATCAACTGCAGTAGTAACCTCAAAAGAGAGACTCAACAGTAATCAAACAAGATCAATGTTCAGATTCATTCTGGAAACTCTAAAGAAGTAAAAGTCCTAGGGGTGAGTAGGTAAAAGTGCTGTCAGGAAGAGTTAAAGCTCTCCAAGGTCAGGGTGAGGATAAAAGATGGGACTGGGGAGGATTGACACTGAATCCTTTTCAAATTCTGTCTGCAATAGAGTGCATTCCTTCAAAACAGAGCTCGCCCAGTCAGGGAAAGACTGGATCAGAGGTCTGGCATTCCAGCAAGAGGTAAAAGCCAAGGGTAGCTGAAATGCCTGGGTGGGAATGAGGCAGGAGTATTCTGGAAGGATGCCTATAACCAGGGGGAGTTTGGTGCACACCTGAACCTGCTCATACAGACATCCCGAGATGAGCACAAGTTGGAGAGGTGTAGGAAGGCATTCATTCTCTCCATAAATATTTAGAAACAGCCTAGTATAAAGAATCCATCAAAAAATAAGAGAGAAAGCACTAGAGAATCCATTGAAGAGAGGGTAAAGGATGAGGTACAGGTGCAAGAAGCATAGCACAGTTTAAATAGCTCATGCAGGTGGGGCTTAATACCTAGGAGATGGGTTGGTAGGTGCAGCAAACCACCATGGCACACATTTTGTAACTATGTAACAAATCTGCACATCCTGCACATGGATCCTGGGACTTAAAATTAAAGTGTTGTGTTTTTGTTTTTGTTTTTTAAAAGAAGAAAACCAGACACCAGTTTTATCCAGAGAAGAATAAATGCTTAGCCGATAAAAAAAAAAAAAAAAAAAACAGCTACGAGGTTGGGAGAACTCGAGATTTGAGATTCCTTCATCAGAAGGCACACTCAGAAAAGTATCTGGCAAAAAGTATCTGAAGATCTGAGAAAAAGGATGCAACACAGAATGCAGATAGCCTGTGGAATTCCAAGATGTCAGAGAAGGTCATGCTAAGACCAAGAGAGTGTGGGAAATAAGAGGAGGAAGGGTTTCCTGGAAGGGGTTGGGGCTCCTTTGGGATGCTAGAGAACAGGATGAAAGACAGGGAAACCGAACTGCAATCACAGTGCCTGGGAAAGTTTAGGGGAAAGAAAACAGGTGGGTTGTGAAGCAGCACTGGGGCTGTCCAGGGGGAACAGTGGTAAAGTAGGGTTCAAGGCTAGAGGTGGGCAGACAGGCCCCCGAATCAGGAGACCTCAAAGGAGTGGAATCTTACTCCTTCCCAGTGCTCTAGTCTCCGCTTCCACCCTAGCCTAGGAGATCTGCTGTAGCCCAGACTCCCTGGAACCCTAGGCTGGGCAGGGGGAGGCCGGGCCGCCCCCAAGCGGTCGGGCTCTGCACTCGCGCCCGGCTCACCCGGCGCCAACTTTACGGATCCGTGTCCTCTCCCCAAAAGGCAGTCCCCCCTTCCGCCCCCTGCTCACCGAGGGCGCTGTCAGGCGGCTGATGCTCTCGCCCAGCGAGTCCAGGTTAACCCGCCTCCGGCGCTGCACTCTCCTGGCCCCGGCCGTGGCGGCGGCCGCGGCAGCAGAAGCAGCCGGGGCTGGGGCTGCGGCGGTCGCCGCGCTGGGCTCAGGCGGCCCAGGCGGGCTCCGGCTGCCATTCCAGCAGAGCCTAGACAGGGGGCACTCCACCTCCTCCTCCGGGCTAGTCTCCAGGTAGTCGGACCCCAAGGAGCTGAAGGATTCGGACGAAATCTTCCTCCGAGACATGCTGCCGGCGGCGCTGCAACGGCCGAGGCGGCGGCGGGGACACGGGCGGCGGCGGTGGCGGGACCCGCGAGCGGCAGCGTTAAGCGCGTCGGAGCCACTGGGCTCTGCGGTCGTGCTCGGCGGGGAGGGAGTCCCCGGGGCCGCGGAGCCCCCCGAGCCAGCTGCTCATGGCGGGAACTTGGGGTGCCTCCGCACCTTGTGGCCCGGGCTCGGCGGCAGCGCCGGGCTGGGCTGGGGGCAGCCGCCGCCTCTGCTGCAGCTCAAGCGGCGCCGCTCAGCGCCCGGCTCGGCGCATCGCCGTGCGCCGCGCTCCCGCTCACGGGGAGGCTCCAAGTGTGTGACCGTGGTCGGCGGGGCGGGGAGGGCTGCGGCCCAAGCAGGAAGGGAGGCAGAGGCTTCTGCCGCCTGCGCGCCTGTCTCGCCCCCTTTCCCTCTCTGCTCCCGCCCCTCTCCTCCCGCCTCTCTCCACTTGCCCGCCTCCCTCCTTCTCTCTCCCTTTATCTCCCGCCCCCCCATGCACTCCCTCCGCCACTATCACGTGTCGCCATCATACTCATTGGGAGTCTCTGCCTCGCCTGTCGCCACGTTTCAGGAGCAAGGAGGACACTTCGTTGCTGTCCTCTGCGCGCCCTCCCTGCTCTGAGGAGGTGCACACAGGAGCTTGGATCGGACTGAGGGACCCCAACCCCCAAACGCCTTATCCTGGGCCCTGGGGAATACACCGGCCCTGGAGGTGCTGGTGGGGAGAAGGGTTCCGGGGTGGGGGGACAGACTTCCCCCTAGAGACACCTTGGGGAAGCCTGACAGTGTGAAGTGAGGGTTAGGGTTCACGTTGTCCTTTCTCCGAGTTTATTTAGGAAGTTACAAGGCGAAAGGGAAAGGCCAAGCGTCCAGCCAGCCCATTCCAGAGGAGACGCTTACATGGGAAGGGAAGGGCAGGGGGCAACATGTTGGCGCCCATCCTGCTGGAGCAGCTCCTGGAGACTTGCGTTCACCGCTTCTTGCGAGGCCGCGTGGGTGCGGAGCGAGCCCAGAACTGGGCGGCAGTGAGGACAGCGTCTGCTCTGGCGAGAGCGCTGTTGCTGAGCCTCAGCCCGGAGCTGAGCGCGGGGCTCCCGGCTGCGCCGGCTCCTCACTAGTGCTGGACAGCTCCGCTTGCTCCCTTCAGCCGTTTGCAGGCGTGGAGAACTGGAGAACAGTTCCTCCTCAAACTATCTAGCACCTGGCCCGGGGGAAACCGGGGAATGATCCCACATCCGTCATCCTCAGGGCTCTTTGCGCCAAATATGCGATCTGTTTGCACTTGACTGCAAATGCTGCTCAGAAAGCTAAGAGGAGTAGGGATAAAGGCTTCTCAAAGCCGGAAAACTGACTCGCCACAGCGCAGGCATCTCTTGTCGCGCGCTTTCAGCTGTGCAGCTTCATTCCAAAGATTACCTCTTTGCAAACCAGTCCTTCCAGCGCCTCCTGACCCCTCTGTACCTTGCCTTAGTCCCAGAAAAGCCTCATACTGGTTCTGAGTATAGAGTGAGGGATGGGAAGAAGGGGCAAATGAGAGTATCCCAAAACAGGGGTCACCGGCTGTACTTCCCCTGCAATAAAGTAGATGAGCACCCTCCCTACCTCCCCTCATCAGCGTAGAGAAAAATTCAGGGGCTCTGGCTTTAGTTCCCCAGTGAATCTGAAGCCAAAGCATTTTTTCCAAAGAACTGGTCCTTTCATGTGAAGACAGATGGGTCTGTGTGGACTGTGTTTAAAAATCAAAACAAAACAAAACCGTAAAACCTGTGCTGTAACCCCACCCAAATTTGCTTTTAACTCTAAATTTTCCCAAGTGTTTGTGAGGGTTTAGATATAAATGCTATTTGAGGTTTCATTTGTAAAAATCCACTCAGACTGGTTCAGAGACATACCTTTTTTCCAGATCCTAAATGGGCTTTAAAGACAGAAAAGCATATACTATCATTCAGACACTCCCCCTTCAAATTATATACAAATATATATATATACATTTATAATGTGTGTATATATATATATATATTTATAATGTGTGTTTGTGTGTGTGTGTGTGTATTTTCTTTCTCCTGCAGAGGAAGTTTCTTTTAAAATAATAACCGTTATAATTATTATTAAACTATATGGTGCATCTACTATTGATTTCCCCATTACTTCAATTAATTCTATATGCATTTGTCTCCATTGAAAATTAGGGTCAAATTACACTTTTAATCATAAAAAGTCATCAATTTTGCTAAAAAGTTTTACTAGCCCCTTTTTCTAACTTACAATGAAAATTACATTATTCTAACTTGGGGATAACTGTTTAATACTTTTGCTGCACAGTATCAATCAGCATAAAGGTTTGGCATTCGTAGTTCTCTTCTTTGGTACTGATGATATAATTGTCAAGTTCTTTAGAATCATAGCATTTAGTTACCATTAAATATACTAAATAGCATGTATCCTTCACATTCTTTCAATAAACTACTGCTGCACAAATAAATATTATGGTAATGGCAAATAAACTTCATATTGAACTTAGAATCAGAACTTTTTACTAATGATTCCAACTCTTGTCTCAAAGTCATAATTATTGAGTGCAAGGCAATGAGTATCATTTGCCTCTAAAATTTATAAGAGGCCCAAGAGCCTTCCTGTTTACAGTGGAAGTTTATTGCAGGAAAGAACTCTGAACCTATGGGACATTTTTTCTTTGTGTGAACCATTTGAATCAAAGGCTTTTTACAGAATCTAGCCAGATGAAGTGGTCTTATAGTTTTCTGTATGAATTATACCCTGCCTTTGATCATTATTTTCCCACGGATTTTTAAACTATAAACAAAACAAGGCCTAGATATAGTCAGTACAACATCTGCATTGCTTTCAAGGGTTTCCTTTGTGTTTCTGTTCAGGAGTAGAGTTCAAAAGCTCTCAATATGAAGAGTGCTGTGTTTATACTAGAATTAACATTTTTAAAATGAAGCATAGCTACTCTCCATTAAAAAAAAAAAAAAAAAAAAAAGCCTTACAGCTAGCAAAAGCAATACAAATACTTTGAATAGTTTGTGCTCTGATTTTAGGAAAAGAAACTTGCACAAACTCATACCCTCAAATCTAGCCCTGCTAAATATATTGTATTTCAATAAAGTCTTTAAAGCCCACTCTTTTACTGGAAAAAAATGCAGAAATATACTTGGTTTATTTGTGAAGTTGGCATAGGCACCTGACGACGCACTCAGATTGATAAGGCATTGGGAAAGACTCCCAGAAAAAAACATACAAAAAAACAGATTCTTACCTTAGTCAAGACAGTGACTATTTTACACTTAAACGTAAAGTAATTGTTTGTGCATGTCTTCCCTTCACATAAAGCAATCCTATTTATAAACTCTTTCACTTATGTTGCCTCATTTAGCCTAATTTTCATCCTTCTCAGAGCAGTTGTTGAAGAAAAATCACCTCTGTCAAATTCAAAAACAACAATCAGTCCTCATTCCAAAATTCTTTGCATTTTCCAGGTCAAAACTCTTTATTAGTTTCTTTTCATCCATCTAATACTCCAGCAAGAAAATCTGCAATATCCGCATAAGCATTCCCTGGAGTAGAGCTCTATCCTGATGGAAGAATGAAGAATTTCTCCCTGTAGTCAATCTTTACATAAATCTGGCAATTCACAGGAATTGCACATATAATATTAAAGCAAATTCTCTAAAGAAGTATAGCAGCTGGTACATCCTTAACTAGGGCAAGTTTTTGTGGATCCCTAACCTAGAAAATCTCACACACACACACACACACACACACACACACTCACTCTCTCTCTCTCTCTCTCTCTCTCTCTCTCTCTCTCTCTCTCTCTTCACACTGTTCACCTGCTAGTTTAACCTGATGTTTGTGTTTGTGAATGAGATCTGTCTACTCTCTCTCTTAACATGTCCCCCTCTTTTACAAGAGGGCAAAGGTGCTCTCTCCAAGAAAGACTAGCAGCAAATAAGAGTAGAGATACTATACTTCATATTGTTGTACAATTGTATAAGTAAAACTAACTATTAAGGTTAATATCAAGGTGAGAAGAATCATCTGCTGTGTTCACATGTAAAGGGACACATAGATGACAATGTAATCCATTGTCCTTTAATTATATTCTCATAAAACCACCCCAAAGGGGTAGGGTACTTGCTGCTCAAAAAAAGATAGAGGAGGAGAGGGCTGGGGAAAAGAGGAAAGAAATAAAGAAAAACAACAGTCTCATGCTACACTTAGCAGCATTTGACCCAGAAAGATTCTTAAGGGTGGAATAACTGCCTTGTTTTGATGCATCTAATCCATGACAGTATGAAAGAGGCAAGTGATCAGTGTATGTTGGTGCCTCTGACATGCACTACTCTCTTCTTAAGTGGCTTTACATTCAACCATGCACCACAGAAATCTATCCTCCTCTAAGGAGACCCTGTTAGTCAACATCTGGAATACTAATATTAGCACCACAGTCTCCTACAACTCTCAGCCTTATTGTCTGCATACTCAACAATCCCACCTCCCTATATACTTTATTTAAATTTGGATTCTTAATCTCAACATAATAGGACAGTTTTCCTATTATAAAACTATGGAAATTCTGGCAAAGAGATTTAAAGTATCTTCCAATGTCATGGAGCTGGTAAATATGAAAGTCAAAATTGCCATCCTGACTACTAACCCCATGCTATTTCTACTGAAACAATTTTCCTGCCTGTCTCTTGTGCTCAAATGTCCTAAAAACAGAGAAAAATATGCTGAATTAAAATCACAACGTGAGTGGATTCTTACATTAAAAATAATTATTAAATACACAATTAACTTGTTTGAATTTGTCCTGGAACATAAAGTGAAAAAGCACTGATGTGCAGAAATTCTACATTCTAGTAGTTTCTCTGCTGACAACTAGCTCTGTGACCAAAATCAAGTTGTTATTTGCTCTGGGACTCAAACACTTCACCTCTAAATCAAAAGTGTTGGATAAAATCCTTATGTTATCATCAATCTTCAAAATTTTATAATTTTTCTGTTTAACAATTCATTTCCTTTCCAAAGATATGTTATGCCTAAAAAACGTATCCACATACATCATCGTAAGGTTAGATCCTCTTTTTCTCCCCTATTATATCCTTTCTGAGAATTCAATTCCTCTACAAATCCCTTTTTAAACCACCCAAGATCCTCTCCTGATACAAAATTGTCATGGACATGGTCCATGGAATTAAATGAATTTAAAAAGGAAAATTTTCAACTGAATCCTATTTGGTTACTTGCTCACTATCTCTCTGTCTTTTCATAACTTAATTCTTCTGTCTGCTTTATTGTATTATGTAAAGGAATCATATCTTCCTGTCTGCAGCTTATTAAGTTTGACAGCTAACA